TTTAATATAAATTAATTATAAAAATTATATATTTATTATATATCTAACCCGTAAAGTAAAGTAGGTATAAGTTAGAATTCCTTTTCACATTTGCGTTTTTTCTTAACAAATGATGTGTCCAACTATTTCTTGGAACGGTGGGACACCACGAATATTTTTCAAAGCACAACGAATCTCAACCATCCAATCCTTTTAATCAAAAACCAAACGGTTCAGATTGGATAATAGACCGCGTCCCCTAACTCCCTCCCTGTATATATATCCTCATCGGCCTGGCTTTAATTCCTTGTCCACAACCTTTCGCATAGTCAAGTCTACTACAAAAGCGACACTCACTAAAAAACAACTTTTATCCGTAAAAATGGTGTCCACAACCACGAGCACATGGATGCTGTCTCTAAAGGTGCTGTTCATTTCCACCGGCGTACTGTCTCTGGCTTTGGGACTCAAGGTCTCTGTTCCATTGGTTTTGGAATTCTGTGTTTCTCAAGCGCCTGTTATATGGAGTTCGGTGGTTTCCTTGCTCCGGCCGCCATACCTGTATGTCATCATCAACGGCATCATCATCACCATCCTGGCGTCGTCGCGGCTCCATCATCACAGAGATGAGGACAATGAGAAGGCGGAGCAGATAACTGTACGAAAGATTGCGGTGGATCCACATCTGGCATTCGAGTTTGAGGTCAAGAGTAGTAGATCGGATTTCGGTGCGCTGGAACCAAGCATGGTGGTGTTTGAGCAGAAGCAGAGAGATGTGGTGGAGGCCGGTGGTTTTGTGGAGGAGAAGAATGCAGTGGTTGAAGATCATAATGGAGATGGAGAAAATGAGCTCGATATCTTGAAATCCACATGGAATAATCCGCCGATGAGGATGGATTCGTCGGAGATTCCAGTGGAGATTGTTTTATCGGCGGAGAAACCTCTGGTTTCTGCTAGATTCAGTCATCGGAAACCTGTTAATAAAGCCAGCTCCGAAGGTAACGGTTACATCTTCTCCCGTTTCTAAGTTCAGAATTTTGAAATTGAAAAAAAAAAAAAAAATCAGTTGGCGTCGTCGAGATTTTCTCCGGCGGCCTTTTGGATTTTTGTGAAATCTAGATTTAAACGCACCGTTTTTACTCAAGACAGTACAACAATGGCGTCTACTTGACGCACTGCTGAAAAGTCCAAATTTACCTTTACCCTGATTCGTAAAATTTACTGAGTCAAGATTGACAAATTGGTGATTTCCTTTTTTCTGGTTATTTAGGTGGTCATGCGCTGAGAGTGGCGAAGCCGAGACGGCACGAGACGATGGAGAACACGTGGAAAATGATAATGGAGAAGAAGGCAATGCCATTGTCGAGGCAACTGCAGAAATCAGAGACGTTCAAGGATACGCAGCAGAATCATCAGGTGGAAGTGGATCGGCTGGCTGAGCCGTTGCCGGTTGTGAAGAAATTGGAGACGTTTAAGGACCGGACGAATTTCCAGCTGTCACCGACTACATTGAAGCTGAGAAAGGAGCCGTCGCTGAGTCAGGACGAGTTGAATCGCCGAGTGGAAGCGTTTATAAAGAAGTTCAACGAGGAGATGAGATTGCAGAGGCTGGAGTCCATTAATCAGTACAACGAAATGATTAACCGTGGGAGCCACTAATTACCATATATTAAATCATCCTGGTTTGATTTGTGTTACTATCTTTTGAAAAAGACAAGAAATAATTTGTAAATACCGTGATTCACAAAAAACAAAAAAA